TTAGGAGCGGCCTCACTTCTTGGGTTGTAAGTCTTCCCATAATGGGGTTGACCCGCTTGGGGCGGCCTCATGGTTGGTGGCTTCGGCCAACCGTCGGGGCGTCGCGGTTGTATGCGTGAGCGATCCCGTGGCGTCCCACATGGCGGCAGAGGGGGAAAGTTGGGTTTTAGTGGGTATGCCGGTCTCATTAGCCGGAGAGTCTCCACATAACCACCCCGGGGGAAGTCGGGTGGTATCCGTAATAGGATTTCCCAACTATAAAAAAAAATAACCAGCTATCACCATACCAAATTTCACAAAATCCCTCCAGTGGTTTTTCTGTGTATTAAAATAATATTTTTTGGAAAATTTTATTGAAATAGACTTAATTATCGAAACAGAGGCCGAATCTATAGTTTTTAGAATTTTTGTTTGTTTGTCTGTCTGTTACCGCATCACGGAAAACCACTGGAGGGATTTTGATGAAATTTGGTATAATGATTGCTGGTTATCCGGGTCAACATATAGGATACATTTTACTGCCGGAAAATATCTCATCTCTGAGAAATCTATACTAAACTACATAAAATCATAAGTTTTATAACTTTTAAAATCTTTGCGATAGCAAGCAAGGTGAGGCTGTTAATCAAAACTGTAAATCAACAAGGTTTTGAATTTTGCTGAAAGCGAGGCGAAAACCGGAACAATTTTGTTTTAAACGGAAAAACACGGAGTTGACTTTATTGTTTTTTTTTTGCTTACGTTTGTACAAATATTTGTGTACAACCGACAAAGTGAAATACTTTATATTAAACTGCATGTTATTGACGAGGTTCATTTAATGTTTTTTTAACACTATTTTCTATCCAGTTTTTACCAATTTTAAAAAAAATACTCGATTTGATTGTATGTTTATTTATGTGTATTACGTGATATCTTCACAAACTACAAATTAATTTTCGTTATTCGTTTTAACATAATTATTTTGCGATAACTAAGGTTATGGGGAAATTCTAAATTAAAAAAAATCTAAACCTAGATTTACATGGTTAATATACTAAACGTTTTTATAATATTAAATTATAAATGTAGGTAGCAAAAAATAAGATGCTTACACGATATATTTTTAATCGTGTAAAAGACGTATAGTTTTTTCATAACACATATTCTTTTCCAGGTTAGAGAACGTAGAGATTTCACCTCACTAAGCTAATTTTTCCACTCGTACATAGAGAGTCAATACCTGCTTAGCAATATGTATTTAATACCACAATTTCCTTTAATATTGCCTTTAACACCACATCCAATATTAATATGATCACAAATATTTATCATGTACATAGTGAGCGGTGTCCAGTCATATTATACATAAGGTATGACAGTACCGCCGGCATAGTTTAATTACGTCACATGAATTCTTTATTACGTTGTTCTGAATTTCGGGAATGTATAATGAGAATCGCATTCAATGCAGCATTTCCAAATTGTGAATTATAAACAAAAGGCATTGTGTAGTTGTCGCCACGTGTTCTGATGCAAAGTCCTTTAGAATTTGTCGAGTTCGTTGTTCGTTCGCCGTAAACAAAGCTGCAATCTCCATATGAAGCAGAATTTTAGGAAAAATGTTAAAACCACCATCACTCATCTCCCTTTTAATCGAGTTATAAAAAGTGGCAATTTTAGAATACGAAGTTTGTCTATGTTCTAAAATTTAGTTAAAAACTTTTGGTATTTTCTACACGAAAAATAAGGCGAAAAAAATGGCGTGGAAGGAAAAACGCAAGTGTAGTTTTCTTTCCAGAATTATCATCAATTAACGTGTGAACAGTTTTCTGAGATGTTTTCGGCTGAGAGGTATAAGGTTTTTCACAGGAAAATTCCTATATTCCTAGGTTAATTATAGAACTGCTTCATGCGGGCTAGACAAAGGTGCAATGAGTACACATGTAGGCTAATACTAGCGTTGCCCGCGACTACGGCCGCGTTGTAGAATCCCTTCTCAGTTGACGTATTTTACTATATATGTACATATGTATATACCTACATATATACTTGCATATATGCTACCTACTACTAAGTACTACTGATAAGCTTAACTTCAAAGGTCAAATAATTTTCGTAATTTCGTGTTTAATAATTGAGTAAATAGTGACGTTTCGCTTTTATTACATAGATAATATATGGTAAATTATACAAAGATGTAGAATTCTTGATCCGATTCTAAGAAATCTTTTACTAATAGGCAGCATTATATTTGAATTCATTCATTCTCTCATTCAACATTCTTGCTACATTATGTCATAGCTACTACAATTAATTTTATTCTATCAAGTAATTCTTGTGAGATATTAGAATATTTAGAGTTGCTGCTAGAACGCGACGAGTTAATGGTATTTATTGTGAAATAACGATTTATTTGACTCGCTTACGGACCTTTGAGACCCTTAATATAAATAATTTATACCTTGATTTTCAGTACACAAATATTTTTTGATAGTTCTAAAGTAAAAAAAATTAAACTATCTTTTAGAATTTTCCCGCGAATTTATTTTGAATTTCCCAGCTTTTCGAATGCTTTACAAAAATCATGGTCACGAGAGAGACAGCATTATAAAATAAAATCTAAGAAAGTATGATGAATAGATGTGTTAGTGTATTCTAACAACGCAAGTCCCGTCGCAGATTAACTTCATTAGGGAGCTCTCGCCGCCTTTATAATAGAATGAGGTCAATTCGCTTTGCGTGATATACACAAAATTTGAATGTCAAACTAATATTATAAAATATTTAAATCGCAAAATAAAAGTTACAATCCAATTTATCTGCAAAATCCATATAAATTAAAATATGATTTATTTTTTATGTATTTATTTCGAACAATTTAGTCGTTGTTGTAACGTTGCAAAAGGTATTATATGTTAACAATTTAGTCGTTGTTATATTATTATAAAAGGTATTATATATGTTTAATGAAACCGTTTATTCTTGACGGATTGAACCTGCGTTCATTATTTGCAAGAGGTAGCGATTTTAATAATACCTACATAGTACACAGTCAGAATAATTCTATAGGTACCTACCTTTTTTAAAGTTAGGAAATGCATTTAGGCACGAGGTGTGAGACTCACTGTCTAAGCCACTAAGTACCTACTTATACACACTAAAACTCAACGGAATCTCCCCCGTCTTAATGGGGCATCGCAGTATCGCTATGCACTCAAACACGACGCCCCGACGGCAGGTCTGTCGAAGTAGACCACAACAACCATGGGGTTGGTCCACAGTCCACTCTGTTATCAGCGAAATACCAGGAGCAACCCCAGTACACCGCCCACCGAGGCGGGCCGCCTCCTAGTGCGTTTCTTGGCTTCGCTAGGCATAATTGCCGGGCACTACTGAGCCACCCAGCTAGTTAGGGGGTACAGGTACCTAGAGCAGGTCAGTTAAATAGGGGTCCATTTGTGCCTTTCGCCCAAATAGTCCAAGATCCAAAGTAGTTCTTTACATTAACATTACACGTATAATAAGCATCTTGAATTTATTGTATTTACTCATCACAGATGGCTTGCTTATGGAATATAATTGAATAATTACTTAAAATAAATAATTTTTTTCATATTCATGTTCTACTACAACAGCAAAGCAATTTAACATCAATGCTGTTTTTGATCGATGCAAAAAAATATTTTTTACAATAGCTACCTATAAAGTAAACTGAGAATTACTTTCAAAATTGTTTATTTTTCTTCATCATACAGTAATTGGTATACAAATATTCCCATAGCGAATTACACACATTTATAATTTCGGTACCACAATTCAAAATTCTAATAAACATTGTTGCCTGGGGACATTAGATAGCAATGATGAAATTATTATGTATTTTCTAATTTACATACATTATATATTGTTTCGTACATTATTTTATGTTCTATTAATGTCCATTGATTATTATAGCTTGTTATTTTGTAAAGCGGTTATTTCATCCAATTAAAGTGTTTGTGTATTATTTAGTTAGTAACTGGTCTTCGCTCGGAGTTATTTTTTCTAATATCGTATATTTAGATAAAAAAACTAAAAACTTGAATAAAAAATAAATAAAATAAAAGTAAAATCTTTGTATCCGACCGGGATTCGAACCCGGACACCTGTGATTGTCAATCTTACGCCTTGGCCGCTTGATTATGATGCTTATGACCAAGCGTGCGAAATTAGCGACCATATTTTGCGTGGAATTATACGAAAGAAAGCAGCATGAAAACTCGAAAGCACACGTTTTCCCAGACATAAGACTAATCTAGATCGATTTTTCGCTCCCGAAAACCCCCATATACCAAATTTCAGCGAAATCGTTAGAGCCGTTTCCGAGATCGTCGGTATAAATAAATATACAAGAATTGTTCGTTTAAATATTCTATATAGTTCATGTTGGTAGTATTAAAAATAGTACCCCACAACCTTTAAAACATTTTTTAACATTACTACTACCTTATTTTCGAAATACTTGAATCACTGTTCAGTGACTGATAAAGGGTTCGGGCGTAAGTGAAATAGGTAAATATTTCGAAAAAAGGTTTAACAATAATGTGGTTAGAACACAGTGCAATGTACACACTAAACTACGGCGTATTTCAATAACCTATCTGTGGTTTTAATTACCAGCCATTGAAATTGGGGAACTTGTTTGTAGCTTGTGTCAAATCTCTATCTCTAGTAAGTAAAATTTCTCATACATCATTATCGAGGACAACTGTAACGGATACCGAGTGTCTAATTTGAATAACATAAATAGTTATTTTTGCGGTGCACGAAAAACGTAATTTTCTACCATTTTTATCGTAAAATCGTGATACACGTGAGCTTAAATTTAACGTGAAACAGTGCTAAGTCTAAAAATAACAAGTATTTATATATAGCCAAGTGTGAGTCACTACAAGTTTTAAGCATTATTCAATATAAAGTTTTATTTACAATATATTTTACTGCTCGCGAGTCTGGCTCGCACTTAACCGATTTGTTTATTCTCTTCCATCATGTCTTAAGGCTCTATCAATAAAGACGTAAATTATTTTGAACATTTTTTCAAAATGTTGCTTTAAATAAATCCTCCTAGTACTGTGAGGGGTGTTGGACATATCTGTAGAATTTGTTATTTTTTGATTTTCTTTTCTACGGTGTATATGTATTTCAGTGAGGAGGACTGCCGCTGGAAAAACATGTAAAAAAAACCATAATTAAATATAAAATATAAAGAGTGAGTGTTTGGGAGTGTTAAAATTATCCGACTCTACTAATTTACAATATAATCTTTTAAATATAATCACGTGTTAAATATCCAATTGAATTCCAATATAATACATTCTTTATTCTATGGTTTGTTGGTTTATCTGGCAGTTACGAGCTGACAAAGTAATGGTTGTACAATGTACATGTATAGAGATAGTTAAAAAGCCAAAAGCGTTACTGAAGCTGATTTTAATGCTGGTACATCCAGATTTTTTTATGAATATTGCTATTTACGCTCGCTCGGTTTACACACAATCATTCAAACATACACACACACACACACACACAAACAAACACACACACGCACGCGCACACGCACACGCATACACTTTTTATTATTGATGAAATTTTAAGTGGATTTTTCCTATCTTGACCTACTAATTCAAAAATCAATCATGAGAACTGACTCAAACACTAAAAAAAACCATACAATTGAATTTATATTATCTCCTTACTTTTGAAATCGGTCATAAAATATGGGTCACTAGATATATTATATATATTTTAATTTCATATTTTATTAGTATAAGTTTTAAGGTGTTCGGTGATCATAATGAGACCCGGGAATGGGAAAATCTCATAAGCTATTCAAACGTTAGATAAGGATTTATGAGTCATAACAATTTTATAGATCTTTCATAATCGAGAATATAACATAATAATTCTTTACGGAACATAGCTTTTTTATAGGATTTTGAATCATCTCCAAACGACGTCATTAATTGCAAATTTTATTCTATTCTAGATGGTCGTAAAATTTTTTGAACGTCAGTGAGTTCATAATAATCAAGTTAATGGTAGTAATTTCATCAAATGCCAGACTATAATGATCCCTCATTATCTTAGACGAGCTGTTCAATTTTATCGGATAAAGGAATTTCATTGTATTAGGTGTATAAACTATTTTTCTTCTAACTAATAAGCTTATGAGGTTTCGATTGATTTATTTGTATGTATTGGATATTATTGATTAAAAGTATATCTAATACAGCTTTCAATCGAAAATCTTCAATATTTTAATGTAATTCGCATGCAAACAGACATACACACCATGAACGATGTATATATTAATAGTATTTACCTATGTTTTCAGGTTCATTATAAACTATAAAAATCTTAAGTAGCTATTGCTATGGTAAGATAAAGATTTTAAAAATAAACCAACCTGATAGAAAATATCCAATGCCAAGAAGGCAAAATGCTCCCCGAAGCATGGTTAAAGAGACTGGTTCTAGGCCAATAGTAGATTCCGATTGGGGCTAAAATTAAAAAAAAAACTATATGCTAAAAAAATAACACAATGAGGCACATTAAAATTGACTGATATTATAAACAAAGAATATATTGTATATGTTTATATTTTTAAGTAAATCCAGACTAAAATTATAAAGAGGTAAATATATGTTTGTATTAAGGGGGTAATCTCTGAAACTACTGAAAATTCGTACATTAAATGGGAGCCATATTACCGCCGAGTACTAAGCTATTTTTTATTGCTATAGAAATGTGCTTACTGTCAGAAATATAACTTTATTTGAAGTGGGAAAAACATGGTCGTTGCGGCGTTGAGCAATTTCATCGGCTATTTTTAGGCACCTAGAGAGGCACCAAGTGAGGGTAAGTCGCTAGTCCGTATTAATATTATAAATGTGAAAGTTTGTGAGTATGGATGTTTGTTACTCTATCACGCCAGAACGGCTGAACAGATCTGGATGAAATTTGGCACAGAGATAGATTATACTCTGGAATAACACATAGGCTTTTTACGCACATATGTTTTTCTAGAGGTGAACCCGAGAGAAGCGAGGGCGAGCTGCTAGTTAATAATAAATTTTAGAATTACGTAAGTAGTTCCAGAGGTTATAAAGTACTGCAAATAAACAAATGTTATTTATTTTTGTAGTCGCTTAGTGATAAATCGATAATATATCATAAATGGGCTATAATGATAATAATAATAATGTCCTCCTAACCGATTTCGGCCACGGCAGCTAATCTCATTGAGACTTACCATCTGCACAGGAGATATTATAGTGCACGAGTGTACGCGCAGACACAAGTGCACTCTCTATTCCTGTCACTCTTATACTTCAATGGGACGGCTACTCGACACGCCCAGTGAGAGTTAAGGCGCAGGATCGATGGACTTACGTGTTCTCCTAGGCAAGGGTGTAAAACACCACCAACTTCCCAAATCCGGGCCGTTACTGAGGATTACTAAACAAAAAGACTCAATAACTAAACTTGGCCCAAGTCGGGACTCGAACTCAGGATCTCAGGATGTGCAGCCGTACACAATAAACTATATTCTATATACTACCATCACAATTACCTCGTTCTGTGAGTTTTCGGTAACATCTGTACTTTCTTTACTGTCACTCTCCGTCACTGGTTTGGATTTTCTTGATTCTTTTGGAAGATTTTTATACTCATCTGTTGTCATTTTAGATAGTATTCCCGCTTCAAATAAAGTCATCGCTCTAAAAGTTAGTGTAAGAATGTTTTAATATAATAGAGTTAATCTAAGTTTGTGTATTTTACTTTTTTTTAATCTATTTTTTTCGCACCTAAGGACTTCGTATGGCTTATTTATAGGTACAGACATATATTTTAAAATTAACATTTATTGTAATAAACATATACATTAGATTCTTTATTATTGAAAGAATAACGTAGAAAGTGTAATGGCAGATAGAGTCGACATTTGTAATGTACACATTTGTAATAAATATATAGTATATTAGCGGAAACCGCGGCTTCGCCCGCGTTAAAACTACATAAAGTCTCTAAAAAGGTAGTTTCATACAAACTTTCATCCCCTATTTTACACCCTTATAGGGAGAATATCGAAAAATGCTAAAATACTATAATACCAAGTTTCAAGTAATTCTGATCACACAAAAAATCACGCCAATCCATCACTCCGTTTCGGCGTGAAAGAAGGATAAACAAAGAAATAAACAAACAAACAAACAAACAAACACAATTTCACATTTATATTATTAATATGGATACACGCATATTATTTGTAAATAAACAAAACAATTAAACGTACTTACAAATTATTAAATGTTTCTAAATACGGACATCCGATTTGTAAGGCGATAGCTGAATATCTTGTGTATAATTTCTCGCTTAGATGGAAGTTATGTGCACCTAAAAGCAGACATTAGTAATTTATGACAACATTATTAAAGGAATGGAGACTAAGGTTGTACATACGAGTATGATAAGAATTAAAAATTGGTTATTTTTAAATGAATAATATAATACAAATTATCTTTTTGAAATTTAATTTATTGCCTATTTATACGACCCATTAAAGGTAGTGACTATTATTGACCTTATGGTGGAGGAAAACATAGGAAACATGCATTTCTTAGAGAATCTGATTACTTGACGACACGTTTGGCTCAGTGTGCAGTAACCCTACTTGCTGTACCAGCGGTCGCGGTTTCGAGTCCCGCTTGGGGTATTCATTTGTGTGATGAGCACGAATGTTTGTACTCCAGTCATGGGTGTTTATATTTATATTATGAATGTATTTAAAATTATGTACATATTATGTGTAGTGTATCAGCTATCTGGTATCCATAACACAAGCCTCGTAGCTTACCATGGAACTAGATGGTATTGTGTGTTAATTTACCAACATTAACATTTTTCCTCTCTTTGGCCTGTTCACCCTTCACAAATATATGGCCCGTGCATGGCACATTAAAAAAGGCTGAATTATTTAGACTTATTATGACTCATGTCGGTTGGTCAAAGTGAGTTTTTCGTAATAGTTACTTCCAAGTTTGACATTAATAATATACGACTTGCACTTCATAATTTTTTTAACGCTTATTTTTTTTAACAAAATATAATGTATTAATTAATTATAATAAGTAATAGATATTATTAACTACAAATATTTGTATAATTAATTATAAAAACTCCTTTACATGCTTGAGAGGGATCTTTTCTTTCGATTAAGCTGGGAAGATTTTATGCATGACCCTATAGAAACCTAAGAAGGACAAGTAGTTAGAATAATAAATCATTTAATTACCAAATCTCTCAGTGTCGTAGTACAGTGTTTCCCGTCCGCCCAATATCGCGACACGTCGTTTCGTCAATACCAAGCGCACACCTATTTCTACACTGCGCACTCGTTGTATACGTTGACGTCGCATGAGACGAGCGAGCCTACCGTACACACCTGTGCCGTTCTAGAATACGTAATGTTTTTGTTAGTCCATTAATTATTTATTTTTTAACTTACATGCTCTATTTGTTTAAAAGTATGTATATAACGGGTTCATATCCCAGGTCTCGCACCTCTGATATTGTTATGTGCCAATTATTTCCAACATGATTACCATTTGTCTTACGGTGAAGGAAAACATCGCGAGGAAACCTGCATGTCTGAGAGAAAATATCAAGTTTTCGAAAGACATGTGAAGTCCACCAACCCGCACTTGGCCAGCGTACTGGACTATGGCCTGATCCCTCGCATTGAAAGGAGGCCCGTGCCCAGCAGAGGGACGTTAAAAATGGTTGAATACGTACAAAATTTTAAGTAGTGAACTAACCTGTAGAATAGCCAAAGATGAGCTGTGGCTTTCCACAACCAGTTCGTATCCATTCTCTCTCATAGCTTCTTCCAAGGCTGGTAGTGTTCCTATAGGTGGTTCTTTTGCTGGTCTTGCTAAAAGACTTGTTAAATTGGCAGAGTACATGTCGCCTATTACATACGTTGCTCCTAACGATATCAGGATAGAGACTAGGCGGGCTTTGTGAGTTTTAGATGGTTCTTTAGATGAAGCTGTAATTTTTTTTATAAATTGTAATATTAATTATAATAATATGTACATTAATTACATACTCTATACTAAAATGGACATTAAGCTGAAGAGCTTTTTGTTTGTTTATTTATTTCCTTATTACTGGTTCAATTTGTTTATATACTGGTTCAATTTGTAAAAATCTTTTGGCGTTTTATAGCGTATTTATTTAGAATGGTTATAGGCCATCTTACATTAAACTACGACCTACGAGAGCAGAGTAATTCTACAAAATTAAATGGAAACGGAGAAAACACCAGATTTTATTACAATTGTACAATAGAATAATTACAATGAAACAAATTGAAAAGATCTTTCTGAAGTTATCAATATAAAAGACATCAAAATCAAGGAATGTCATATTTTCAATTTATTTTAATAGATGAATAACTTTAAAAGAAGTTAACAAAAGTTTATATAAACTAAACCGAAATACGCTAATTCATGTAGTTTTTTTCTTATCGCTTAGTAAATATATATAAGAAAAAAGTAGATAAAGCGGGTTAATTGCAAAGTGGATTTGCCATAAGAGAGAAGGAGGACTCTACAAATAACGCTACACAACAGATCCCATTAGATTGCCCTGTGTCAAAGGATCCGTGAGACAAAGTACGTTCAGACCTCGATGAGCAGTGAGCACTTATATCTGCCATTGTAAATATTTATCATGATGAAACGTTGTCATAATAACAATGGTAAATAAAACGCCATGTCTACAAAATGCGCCTACTTATCTACTTATAAAACATTTAATTTCATTGTAATAGGCTATACTAGTATATAGGTTAAGCAGCTAATGAATGAATTTTTGTATTATTATGGAAACTTTTCAAGTTCTCTACGTATATTTCTGTGAAGTGGAGTATAATTTTTTAATAACAAGTAAATCAATTTTGTTCCAAAAAGTCAATTATTATTAATTTGATTAAAAATACTAACGGAATATTTTATAGGTAACCCGGCCAAAACATTTGTTCCGTTTATTATTGTATATAAAAAAATGATTTTGATTAAATACTCGATCAACGTAGCAATTTTGCAGCCGGATCTCGTACTATTTACGTAGTCGGGTATTTTTAATTTTTGTAAATATTTTTTTTAATTTTATGATATATAAACCTGTACAGACATTGTCTCAGGAACAATGAAGTGGTGAACCAACAACAGCTATTCAACAAGGCCAGTTTGTTCCCTTTTCGTCGTTGCCATAGTAAGGGAGCCGCTATCACTATCCACAGCGCGGGGCCTGTAATGAGGAGTGTGGCGCCAACCAAAGGCCAAACCTGGACAAATATTAGTATATTTTTATCCTTCAAATTATTTGTTTATTATTTGTTCCAATCTCCTTAGTGTCTTCTCTATTCTATGTGACTTTGGATAAGTTATCTGTCAACTGGCACGCTTTAAAGCAATTAACAAGAGTATTGAATTGAATTATTTTTTTGACAATATTTAAGAATTTTATACAACTACAGAGTTTTAATTCATTTAAGAACTATTTAAAAAAAACATTTAAATTATTTTCTATACGACTTAGTCGCTACAAATACGAAGATATACCTATACATAATATAACTTTTGTATACTTTTATGTTTATATACTGTACATTAATTTGTACTGATTTATAAATTACTGAATTATGAATAACAGAATATTTAAGTATTTACAACTATTAGTGTTCGCTGAGTGCTCGAAATTAGGCCATAATAATCATTTTAATGACTAAGTTTCGTTTTAATTCTAATTCAAGGACCTAACTCAAGCTCTACGTTATGCCAGCCCTTTTGAAACAAGTTACGCTTAGAGAATGTTAGGTAAATGAATTACTTATTAGTCAAAAAGGCATTAACTTTTAAAATCACTTTATAAGTAATTATTCTAATCATAGAAGTGGATTTTAAATGTGGATTTGAAATATAATTATACGGTACTCTTAAGCTATATACATATTTATTAAAAAATATATGAAAATTCATTTACAATTAGTGAAGAACAAATATATATTTGAGATATCTGCCTGACTAAAAATATGTAAATCGAAGTAGTGCTTATTAAGTATGTCATTCACCTCCCAACGGAAAGGCCTGATGATAGCCAAAGTTTCGCTTAATTTGTCGGGTGCGTGCGTCAAGAATGCTCCAGAATCGGCCAGGGTTAGGAAAGAGAACTCGACAGCTTGCAGACGTTCCCATGTCATCGTCACATCTCCGAGAAAGAAGTCTGCTTTCTGTGTCATCCATAAAATTTTAAGTTTATATAATACTAGCAAAACCCGTGGCTTCGCTCGCGTTAAAACTACAAAAAAATCTCTAAAAAGGTAGGTTTCATACAAACTTTCATCCGCTATTTTACCCTCTTATGGGATGAATTTTGAAAAATGCCAAAACATGTATTAAATTAATTGTATTGAAGAGCATTAATACCAACTTTCAAGTAATTCTGATTATAAATATTTTTTTGGATTGTATTAAAAGTAGCTTATGTTACCCTCCAGCCCTCCAATTGTCTACACACAAAAAACACGCCAATCCGCCAAGCCGTTTCGACGTGAAAGAAAGACAAACAAACAAACACACTTTTACATTTATAATATTAGTATGGTTTATTATTAAAAAATTATACCATTTTGCTTTTAGGCAGTGGTAGCCCAGTGATAGCATCTTGGGAAACCGAGTGAAGCGGGTTCAAATCCCGGGACTCGCACCTTTGATATTTTCATGTGCGAATCATTTCTAACATGATTACCACTTGCCTTACGGTGAAGGAAAACATCGTGAGGAAACCTGCATGTCTGACTAAACCTAGCAAGTTTTCGAAAGACATGTGAAGTCCGCCAACCCGCACTTGGCCAGCGTGGTGGACTATGGCCTGATGCCCCTCGTATTAAAGGGAGGCCCGTGCCCAGCAGTGGGACGTTAAAAGGGCTGAATACTTTGCTTACTTTGACTTAAAAAAACTAAAAAAAACTTAAGCTTCTAAACTTAAGTTTTTTACGCCTCCATGGGACTTTATACTTTAGATTTTTTTTTAAATTTCAATTATCAAGTTTGATACTTACCACTTGTACTTTTAGTGAAAGAGTGGTTTTTACGGACAAAGGATTACAAACTGATTCAATAAGGGTTCTGTGTCAACCGATTCGAGTACAGAAGAAATAATAATAGGTAATGAATCTAATTATATAATTAATATTATAAATTACGATATAAGAAGGATTTGTTAAAAGAAAATAATTTAGAAAATGTGTGCTTACACGTTTCCAAATTAAGCCAAGTGTGCCTTTAAATGTCCCATTTCCAGCGATTCTTGTCCCTTGGCTCCGTTCTGGTGGGTCGTAGTATCTATACCTAATTAATTAAAAATTATATTCTTTAAATTAACTTGCTACTCTTATAATAATTGTTTGGACAACTTTTTTTAATAAAAATTATAATTGCCTTTACCGCATATTAAGACGTTTCGTTCATTTAATTTTAATGTAGCTAATAATATAAGAAATTGTATTTGACGACAAATTAGCTAAAATACTTAAGCCTTAAATATTAAGACCTATAAAATATATCTATCTAATTTATGTAGAGTTAATTAGTAAATTTTAGACATACTTAAAGTTTAGTTTCTTCGCCAACAATGAAAGTAATTTGTCGTCTCTCCCGCCAGTCACGTTGACTGTAGAGTCGTTGTTGTATATCACGAAGTGCCAAGGTGGCGCCTAGACAAAGAAAATTTACGTGTAAACTTGTAAAGTTACTTTACTAACTAAGAATAGTTATAAATTTTCGTTTTCTCTTGATCGAACTTGAAGGTTTCTGAATATATAATATCATTTAGAAAATTTTGAATACTTAGTTTTAGTTTGATAGGTACAGACAAAACGGTTCAGTGCCCTTTTCTCTTTTCTCCTTTGTTTTTCAACCCATTTTCTATACATAATTTATGGTCGACATTGGCCCACTAGGAAGCGTGTTGTTTGTGGGTGGGTAATTTAATTGATACTAATATTATAAAGAGGCAGGGTCTGTTTATTTGAACGCGCTAACCTCAGGAACTAATAATCCGTTTAAAAAAATTCCTTAGCATTAGATAGGTTGTTTTTTGAGGAAAGCTATAGGCTGTATAATATCATATGATATATACCTACCTAATAAAGGGGGTAAGTAATTTTAAATATCTAATTAAAGGTTATTTACATGTAAAACAGGAACATCGAAGATTCTTCCTTGAAAGTCGTGGTACACTTTATCTGCGGGGGGCAATGCGGGGGACTTGTAGAGACTGCCGGACCACCAATTTACTAGAGTTAAGTGGTTCAGTTTGTTTGGCGACGCTTGATTGTAGTATAGCCTGAATCTGTTAGAAAGTTAAATACATTTATTTAGTTATATACTATATTTTACAGCTTCACGGTTTTCTCCAGTACATTCATATCTGTATATATATATATATATATATATATATATATATATATATATATAAATGATTAAATAATATAAATAAGTCTGTCTGATCTGTACATAAGATATTTTTTTAAAAATCTTTAGAAATAGTCATTATTATCGATACAGAGGCCGAATCTGTATTATTTAGATTTTTTGTCTGTCTGATGATTTTGATGTTTGATTTAAAACGTACCTAGGGACGGAGCGAGGGTGAGTTGTAAGTTGATAATATAACTTCCACTTATTAACTTACTTATTTTTACTCATAAGAGTATTAATATCCTATACACTAATATATATATATATATATATATATATATATATATATATATATATATCTCAATTACCGAGTTGTATTGTATCTATCAATGATTAATTGAGATATGGAGAACTTAATTATAACACTAATTATTTTAATAGCCTCCAACAATGCTGAGATATAAATCGATATAGTCAATATAAATAGGATTGTCATAAAACTTAAAAGTTATAAAATTACTAAAAATAAAATAAAAATAAAGCTACTAGAAATAAAAATAAAATAAAACCTTTGTCGGCTTAAATGACAAAGTTACATTGACTGACTGACTGAAGCTGACACACAGATTAAATTAGCCTGGGGAAGCCCTGAGAGAGGCGAGGTCAGATTTCTGATGTGTGCCCTATTATATTATAATGGTTGCAGCGTTAGAAACCACATTTACTCAACACTTAAACCAACAGGCAAACTTAACTGGAATGCTGTATACAGCATTACATAAAATCTATGTATATTAACTTACGTACACTAAGAACGGGCTATATTAGCTCGTGTTTGATCTATTAACATAAGTTTATTTGGTTTTATCTAATTACATAATCGAAGATTATTATTAATACGTAATCTTTGTTGCATTTAACAGTTTTTTATAATTTAAAGACAAAATTGATTGAAGTAATAAAGACGTTGCCGGAGGGGGAGATTTGCTCCGATGAAAGTAAACATATCCATACAATTTTTTTTTAATGTAATGGTCCGTATTAGTATATATGTTAATTTCTATAATCTGTGCAAAAAACTTGTCAGTCTTACTAAATTTAGTCAACACAAAAAAAATCATTTCAATCATTTTTTTATCTTCTAAACGATTAACGCATGAAAATTGAGTCTATTTCTGAATTAGTAACAAATCTCGACTGTTGTCCATTTAATAAAGCATTATCTTCTCTTTTAAATAAGCAATATAATTCGTATCTCAACTTAAAACTACAAATTGACTGCAAAACAAATATATTTTTCCAAGAAAACGTTGTAGCCGAAGCACTAAAAAATATGTTTTGGCCAATTCACAATCGGCGTTTCGCTCAATCGAATTACAATGTACGTGAGTCTGTAGCTTTGTATTGGGTCTCTCAAATTGAGAGAAAATGTAATTTTAGAAATACTGGCAAGATGGCACGATAATCAAGCTGGTACATACTTGTAAGGAATTTTAAAATAATGGGAGTTTTATTTTTATGAGAAAAATAATGTTTAATTAATTTTAGTTATGGCTTTTTGATATCTACTCGTTTGTATAAAATTTGGGAGAGTAATTCAAATAAATAGTTTATTTATATGTATTCTATTAAATTAAATTATCAATATTTTATTTCATTAGCGAAAATTAGTTGTGAAAATAACACTATATACATTTTAATAGGCTATCAATATAATCCCCCCCAACGTGCGTTCACCTTGTCGTGGTGGGGGGGCTCAGTAGTGCCCGGCAATCCAACCGGGCGCGAAGCCAAGAAACGCACAGGGAGGTGGCCCACTTCGGTGGGCGGTGGGAGGTGGCCCTCTTCGGTGGGCGGTGTACCATGCGGGTTGCTCCTGGTACTTCTCTGATAGCAGAGTGGACCTTTCAGTAACCCCATGGTAGTGGTGGTCTGCTTCGGCAGACCTGCCGTCGGGGCGTCGTAGTTGAATGCGTAAGCGTTCCTGCGACGCCCCATTAAGACGGGGGAAGTTTTTGTTGGGTTTTAGTGGGTAGTACTGGCTTTATTACGCCATTGAGTCCCACATCTCGTGCGTAAATGTTTTTCCCAACGTTAAAATAAAAGGCTATCAATATAATAGTTAAATTAACCGTTTAGGTTTCATTTTGACCAAAATTAAAATTAAATTTTCATTACTATTTAGTAATTTACGTACCTATATAATCTAGAATAGATATCTATACTGATATTTGTTGTATATTATAATAGGGTAATTACATAGTATATAAGTAAGAGTTAAGTATTAGTATGCTTTGTATGTAGGTAGTACTGACAGTTGTAAAATAAACGCAATACATAACGGACGTGTTCTTATTTAGCAGTGGCGACGAGGATTAAAAAAGTTTAAAAAATGGTGTTTGGACAATTGCAAGAGTTTGACTTGAAGAATGGGAGCTGGGCAGCGTATAGTGAAACAGTGGAGATGTATTTACTTGCCAATAAAGTTGAAGAAGATTTAAAGTTAGCAACGTTAATAACGGTCATGGGGGAGGAGGCATATCAACTTTTGTCGACACTGGCGAGTCCAAAAGCACCATCGACATTAACATATGCTGCAGCGGTAGCGCTTATGTCGGCACATTTACAACCGAAACCGTCCATATTAGCAGAACGATATAAGTTTCGGCAACGGCGTCAAGCAGAGGGAGAAACCGTTGCAGATTATGTCGCCGTGCTAAAGAAATTAGCCAAGGATTGCGATTTCAAATCCTCGCTGGAAGAAAACCTCCGTGATCAGCTCGTTTGCGGTATCAGCAGCGAGTGCACTCGGCAGCGGCTTTTCGCTGAGGACGATATTACTTACAGTAGGGCAGTTAAGTTAGCGTCGACACTGGAAGCAGCGGAGAGGAACGCGGGTGCAGTTGAGGGCACTAGCACTCAAGGTGTGCACAAAATGCAAACGTTCGCTACACGGCAGGCCAGGTGTATGGCTTGCGGAGTGAATGGACATACAACGAATAGTTGCAGATATAAGGCTTTCGAATGTAGCTATTGTCGGAGGCTAGGTCACCTAAGAAGGATGTGTCCGGACAAAACAGTTGTCGATAGCGCTAAATTCGAATCGGTCGGTAATGATCGCAATGGTTCACGCGGATACGGCGTGACAGGCGCGGGGAGAGGCAGCAGCGGCGGCGGTGGAGCGCGGGGAGGCAGCGTCGCACGCGGGCGGGGCCGGGCGCGCGACGGCGGTGCGGGGCGCGGGTACGGCGCGCGCGCATACTGGCTGCGGGAGCCGACGAGTCACGACGAACTCGAAGCGGAGCAGAGGGATGACGTACAACTCGACGAACCGATGTATCAAATGTCGTTAGCGAAATATAAGCCGGTGGGTCTTACGTTATTAGTTAATAATAAACCATTAAAAATGGAAATCGACACGGGATCATCATTGTCATGTATAAGTAATAATACATACTGGAATAAATACGGTAACGTTAAATTGCACCCGTGTCGATTAACTCTAAAGTTTTACGATGGTTCTATTATAAAGCCTTTGGGTTATATCCAAGTAGAAGTCCGTTACAAAGATAGGAAAAAGATGTTAGATTTATATGTCATCGATAATGGTACTACTACTTTGTTAGGGCGTCAATGGCTTTCAGAATTGAGCATTGAAGTTCCACCACTTAGTTTTAATAATATCTCTTACGAAAAAGTAAATAAATCTAAATTAATAAATGACTTAATTTGCAGGCATGATTCATTGTTTGACGGCACACTGGGGCGATATACGGGGCCGGAGGTGCAGTTGCATTTGCGCGAGGGTGCTTCGCCGGTGTTTTGCCGCGCCCGACCAGTGCCGTATGCGCTGCGCGCGCGCGTCGAAGCGGAACTGGATGCAATGCTGCGTGCCGGCGTCATCGAGCCCGTGGCGCGCTCGGACTGGGCAACGCCGCTCGTTATAGCAAGTAAGGCAGATGGTGGTATACGTATATGCGCTGACTATAAAGTAACACTGAACCGATTCTTAATGGTCGACAGGTATCCCGTTCCTAAAATGGACGATTTGTTTAGTGACCTTAGTGGCAATGAATATTTTACGAAGTTAGACTTGTCTCAAGCGTACAATCAACTAGTTTTGCATGAGTCATCGAGAGCGTACACAGTGATCAATACCCATAGGGGGTTGTTCAAATATAATCGCCTTGTTTATGGGCTAGCATCAAGCCCAGGTATCTTTCAAAAATTTATGGAAACTTTATTTAAAGATGTACCCGGAGTAATAATATTTTATGACGATATTTTAATCAAAAATAAGGATATTAAGAGTCATTGTGAAACAATTGAACAAGTGTTTGATATTTTAGAAAGGAACGGGCTTAAGATTAAAAAGAATAAATGCGAATTTTTTGCTGAAGAAGTGCAGTATCTAGGTTTCATTGTAGATAAAAAAGGAGTACGAGTAAATCCGGATAAAATACAGCCTATAGTAAATATGCCACCTCCGCGGAGTACAACGGAACTAAAATCATTTTTGGGAATGGTTAATTTTTACGGCAAGTTTGTTAAAGGTTTAGCATTGTATTTAGCCCCACTTTATAAACTATTGAAAAAAGGTAGACATTATCAATGGGGGAAAGAACAGCAAGAGTCATTCGTTATCGTGAAAAAACTCTTGTGTGGTACACATGTGTTGGTTCATTATGATATGTCCCGGGAGACGGTGGTGACGTGTGACGCGAGCGCGTACGGATTAGGCGCGGTGCTGGCGCAGCGCGCGCCGGACGGCTCGGAGCGACCGGTCGCATACGCATCGAGGGCACTTACGTGTGCTGAAAAAAATTACAGTCAAATCCATAAAGAGGCATTAGCTATAATATTTGCTGTAGGTAAATTTCATCAATATTTATTTGGTAGAAAGTTTGTGTTACGGACGGATCATAAACCGTT